GCTCTTCACACAAGGTCATGTGATACAACCACACTGTTTATGCAGGATGGTGCTCCTCCATATATCCCCCATTGTGTGAAATAAGTGCTCTGCCACCATTTCAGTGATGACATCAGCCAACAATTTCCTACAGCTTGGCCTTCTAGATCTCCGGACTTGAATTCCTCCAACATTTGGCTGTGGGGATACCTCAAGGCCATGGTCTACCGAGATCCTATCATCTCTCTAGCTGATCTTAAAGAAAGCATAGAACGCCATGTGCTTTACATTCCCCACTTCATGCTGCTTTCAACAGTCTAACATGTGATTTTACACTTCCGGGTAGTAGCAGACAATGGTGGACATCACATCAAGCATGTTTTGTAAACTTTTGTAGATTATTTATCTGTTCTCAATAAAGCTATAATACGCCACCTAGGGATGAATTTTGGAACTCGTTGTTTTCTTCCCTTCGATAAAATTCCCATCATTTCATTCTGCCATTACCCAATTTCCATGCAATTCCGCTGTATGGTTTTTGCTACAGACTGCTCGCAAATTTCAAGTTTAATTATGGACACCCTATATTTTCCTAAAACAAAAAGACCTCTTCCCCCCAAAAAAAGTGTGCTGAAAAGCAAAGTAATGGTTAAATGTAACCCTTAAATCCCTATGTACTTGAATATGCACACATGACTATCTTTGTATATATTGAAGAAAATATGTGAAAAACAGTGATTTTACTGAATGTTGAAAGTGAGGGTGCAAGTAATCATAAATTAGCCAATGTTTTATTATAATTTTGTTATAGCATTACTATGTTTTAGTGACAACTATAATTTTTGTGAAACATATCTTTTTGATTGTATGTATGCAGCACTGTTTGGACTGATGAAATATTTAGTACCTTTAAAAACATAACTTCAATTTTTATGTGTTACATGTATTTTAGACTTAAAAGAAGTAAAATCTGATGTGGACACTACATGACTTCCTTGTGTGCAAATTAATTATATGATTTTTTACAGCACTTCATTTAAACTTGTTTCCTTGAATTATTCTACCTTAATTAACGAGTCCCTCAAAGCTTGTCAAAAATGACATTAAAAATTGCAGAATTAGAAATTAAATATCATGGTCAGTTTTTGTCATGTGGAAGTCAAATTTCATGTATTTTTATTATTTCATAAAGCATGTAAAACATTTCAAGGTGTAAATATAAAAACAGGAAGACCACAGTAAAACTCAGATTTCACTATTTGTTTCAAATCTTTTTTATTATTATTATTATTATTATTTAAAATTGTGAACACATGAATATTTTCATTATTTAAAACACTTTTATGATTAGAAGTATATATCTATGACCAATGATTGTAAAAATGAAGGCCAGATAAGGGCATTTTAAGCCTAGTTAGGAGAGTGGCTATATATATGTACTTTCGTTACTGCTAATTGCAATAAAAAGGGAGAGATTCACAACTAGATGTTGCAGCAATCCTATATACAGAATTCAGACATTCTACAGCTAATTGTCTTTACATACATACATATATGTAATACATATACATACAGTCCATTTTACGATGTCCATTTTACAATTAATTTTGGAATAAAGAGTCCTTTAATAAGCAAAATGGATATTTCTATTGAAATCTCAAACCCAAAATTTTTCCCAGTTACAGTACTTCCATTACTTTGTACAAAGAAGTAAAAAAAAAAAATAAACATTTAAATGGAATTGAAGTATTATCAAATAATAAAGTATAATCTGAATTTGAAGTCTGCAAATGTAATATATCATACAAATCTTGTTACTAAGTTATTATAGTTGTTTATTTTATTGATTATAATATTCATTAAAATAGTTTTAAAAAGTTTGAGCAAGTAAACATTTTTAAGTTGGTTGTATTTTTAAAGAAAAAGAATTTTTTCTTTATCCATCAGAGTCTTGATGCAAATGGTCCAGAAAACTGGTTTTTGTGAGCTTGTTTGATGTTGATGATGTTTTTCACATGCTGTTATGAAATTTAATAATTATAAATTTTATTCATTTTAATGGGAATTATTTTAATCTTTATATAATTTTTTCTTTATAAATTTCTGGTGAATAGGTGAAGAAATTTTTTTCAAATGAATGCCACTTTTTAATAGCATATGAAATTTTTCATATTACCAGACTCTTAAAAAAGCCAAGATTTTACATAATTAAGTAAACTTGGTAAACAAGAAATTGATAGAGATATTCTATTATTATAAACTCTATATTCTGCATTTATGATACTAAGTAAATTTTCATATTGGATCTAATAATTTTTGCTTCTCTCTAAATTTGATACTTTTCCTGGCACACTGAATCTGAAATTTTATTACCACTTGTTAGTTTTTATTACTGTTAGTTAATAAGCATTGGAAGATGCATACCTTTGGTTTGTACAGCTGATTGTACTAAATAAATATTTCACTGTAAAGGTAATTCATAATTGTTTTCAGTTTATAAATTAAAGCTGATATATTGTTACTTAACAGTCTAAAACCTGGCTTAAATTCTCATAATATAACCTTTAGGATGGTGCTATCCAAAACACTTTCCCCCCCTCCTTTACTGTCCCCTAACGAGAGAAGTCGTTAGGGTGGACATTTGTCCCCTCCATTGATGCAGTAAAATTTACATGTTGGTCAGACGCTGGGCAACAATCTAGAACAAGTTACTATATTTGCCACTTTTTTTAAGTTTATTTTGATTTAATTTAAGCTAAACTGTATTTATTTATTAAGAACAAAATGTATAGAATGTTTATATAACATTTACTATTTCTGATCAATCTCGGTAATCATTTGTGAATTTTATGTCTTTGTTTCTGCTAGAAATTAGTAAACGAGAACAGAACTTGACAAAATATAACAAATATGAACTAGCTTTATATGCCTGCGAGTCCGAATGCAGTATTTGATAATCTATTTTCATTAATAAAATAATAGTAATGATTAAGTTAATGAAATAATAATAATGAATTCATAATAATATTCATTACTATTAGATGATTAAAATTTGATTCATTACTATTAGATTTTGAGATGATAATAAAGCTTTAAATCTTTTTTCTTCCATAGCTTTGTTATTATAATATAAAAAAGAAAATCAGAGATATATTAGTTGTGCTTGATTATTTAACCTTTAACAAATATTACTTATAAAGAATTTTCTTTATAAAATTGGATTTTGTTTACGTTAGCAGGGAAAAAATTTTCCAAATACCTATATATTCAATCCATTTTATATCTGCAGTCTGAAGTGAAGTCTGATGAGATAATTTCTTAAATCTTTGCATTTTCATGGTGTCCGTAGAGAGAGAGAACTTTTAGGACTTTCTTTTTAATATTTGCTGAAGAGAATTTTGATGTATGATTTAAAATTTCAGAAAAATATAAATTTATCCAAAAATATTTTTCAGAACAGTTTTAAATGTTTATAAAGAATTCCACGTCAGTTTTCTTTCATATGCGGATTTCATTCGAAACCATCGTTTTATCCAAAGATTGATTTTTCCTTGATTTTGAATGAAATGGATATACATATGATCTACGTAATAAATTTTCTAATTTATTTTAAATAGATTAATATTTCATACTTTCAAAAGAATAAGGGTATGCAGGGTATTGACATTTACAGTGTTGGAAAATATGTGTTTTTATATTTCTTTCCATGATCAAAACAATTACCCAGGAATATTTTCAAAGCAAAATTTAAAAAAATTGTTCATGACAAATTTTTCATAAAGTATATATAGTTCTTATATGAGTTCTTATATAATATATAGTTCTTATGTGAGAAAAATTGGTATGTCAATTAAACCATCCAATAATCTCGAATGCTGTCTTTTGCAATATGCCCTATGAGTAAGACTTAATCCAAAAAATTTCTGAAGCTCATCAGATGTAACTGGCGTTCAGTCGCTTTCATGCTTTCTTTTTCCGCTTATATTTGGTCTACAACTCTAAGATTTGAGAAGCATAGCGATTCGTTTCTCTGGTTAAAATTTTAAACAATTCATCTGAAAAGTATAATTTAAAAAACTTAACAGCAAGATGAGTTTCCAAAAATTTGGTCTTTATACCAGGATTACCACTAAAGGTCAATATGTTAGCTTTGTCATGTTCATTTCACTGTCTCCATTTGAATAAATTATTAGCATTGCTTTTGAGGTCATCGGTAGCTTTATCTTTATTAAAAGATTTATTAAAACATATTTCTTCTATATCTGAACAGTCCAAATCTGTATCAGCAAAAGTTTCCTCTTCTGAATCTCTTAGCAACTTATTAATTTCGTTCTGACTGGGTCCTTTGAAACGAAGTGCCAATATAAGAATCGACTAAGAAACGGAAAATGCATAGCCAGGGTCTGCTCCGAACAGGAAACTGGACCATCTGGAGAATCTAAATAATGACATAATAATAGGAGGATCTAAATAACGATATCTGGAGAATCTAAATAACAATATATAATAGAATAAATGATTACTCGAAAATGGGGAACAGAAATGCTGGTACGACAGGTTGTACCATTAGCCGGTTTAAAAGCAAATAAATTTCGCAGTACAACATTTGTACCGCAGCTTTAGGATGTTAAAACAGTGAGAAATGTATTATTCCTATTTATATTTTAATAAAAATTTTAATTTTTAAGACATTAAGAAAAAGGCTTCATTAAAAAATTTGTTGTTTAAACTTATTCTTTGTACAGTTAAAAGCAACCTTCCTCTTCTAAATTTCATAACATTTGATTGTTTTGTTGTAGGCTAATAATGATTCTTCAAAAAAATTATAACCTTAAAACATTTTCATGTTATTAAATAAGCAGATTTTCTTTAATTGTATGTAATTGCAAAGTATATTTAAGTATTATAGTGATTAAATTTTTGTATAATTAAAAATGATTTTTTCCTGTTAACATTATATTATTATATTCCTGTTAACATATATATTGTTTGTTTACATTAATATCCATTTTAAATTTCAGTTTTAAGCAAGGCTCCTCCACCTCCACCACCGCCACCTCTGTCTCCTCCTGTTCATGCAGTTTTATGCCCTCCACCTCCTCCTCCTGTTTTGCCTGCACCGCCTCCTCCTTCACCAGGAACTATAAGATTTATACCTCCTCAGTTGCACCGACATCCTCCAAGACCTCCAGTGCGTCCAAATTTTGTAACAATTCGGGGACTGCCAATGGGAGGACCTCCAGGATCATTTCCTCCTGGCCCTATGGGTCCTTTTGGCCCACCACTAGCCCAAGGACCTCCTGTGAATGCATCTCCTATTGCTGGACCTCCTATGCCACCTGCAGGTGCCATGCATCCTATGCCACCTGGTCCGATGCCACTGCCACCAGGTCCTATGCCAGTGCCGCATCAGATGGGAAATATTGGTGCTAGTCTTCCTATGCCTCCTGGATTTTGTCCACCTATGGGTCCACCTCCAAATCTTAGATGTGATTCACAAAATTTTATGTCAACTAGTGTGACTCAAAACTATGATTCTATTGCAACTACTACAGAATCACAAAGCACGAGTGAAGATTCTACAGTTGTTGCTTCCGCTCCTGCTGTCTATGCTGCTCCATTTATGAAAACCCATTCAGATAATGCTATGGAAATGCATTCTTCAACAAATGGGCAAGATCATTCTGTTTCTGTTGTAACAGCACCTGCTGTTCAAAAAACTGATAAACAATCAACTGTAAAAATTGCTGATGAACCCACAGTTGGACCTACTGCACCACCTACATCTATTAATGAGGAAACTGTTGTAAGTAAAAAGAAAGAGAAAAAAAAGAAAATTGTTCGTATGGCTGGTGGTCAAGCATGGGAGGACAATTCTTTGTTAGAATGGGACTCAGGTAAATTTCATAAAAATAAACCATTTGCTGTCCATTTAGGTATGTGTTGTACATTTTACTGTTATTGAAGTATCTGAATTGATCAAGTTAAAAAGATTTCGGAATTAAAATAAATTTTTGCATTTCGAAGATAAGGGAAAATTTATAAGATTGTGTAATGGTAAATGTGTAATAATTAAATTTCTCAGATGTTTCTATTTAAGGTAACCAACCTCATTTGGGTACCTTATTTTGTAAAGAAGTTTTTATTTTAACTCTTTGATATACACTGAAGTATCACTGAAATTGAGATAGACATGGCTACGCAAATTTTGTAGTGCTGAACCACATTTATGCTCATGTGAGGGCATTGTGATAACAGCATATATAGCTAGTACTATGGTTATTGTTAATCAGTTTTTTCAATTGCCAGTATGGGTAAAATTTCTGATTTAGATACCTTCAATGGCGAACAGATAGTAGCTGCTCGATGCATGGACATTCAATTTCCAAAATCGGTAGAGAGCTAGGATTTTCAAGGTTGATTTTGTCGATAGTATACTGAGAATACACGGCTGGTTAGGGGGGGGGACTAACAATCAGACAAATTGCAAAGGACAATTAGCCTACCATTCATTTGAATCAGGGTGGCTGTTGTATGGTCAGTAAATGGATCGTGTAACACTCGTTTCCTCATATGGGCTTTGGGAGCTGTAAACTCACGAGAGTACCATTGCTCAATGCATGTGATCGAACTGCACGACTTGTCTGGGCAAGAAGACATAGAGAATGAACACTAGAGGACTGGAAACGAGTAGTATGCAGATATGAGTCTCAATTCCAACTACTTAACACTGACGGGAGGCTGAGAATATGGTGTCAGGCTAATGAAGTCATGGAACCTACATGCGAGCTTAGAACTTGACGAGACCATTGTGGTTCAATCATGGTCTGGGATGTTATCTCTTGGCAGTGTTTGGAATCTTCGGTATTTATACCAATCTCCCTCAATATGATTCGGTTCATAGAGTTCATGGGTGATCATCTCCATCCATTCATGTTTTCCTGTCATTCACATGGAAATGGAATATTCTAGCAAGATAACTGCATCTCTCACAGGTTCTGGTTGGCTTCTGCCTGGTTGGATGACATCTCTGTCATAAATTTGCTACCTAGAAACCCTGACTTAAATCCTACTGAGCATCTTTTGGATGTTTTGGAGAAAAGTGTGAAACCACATCACACAACACAAGTGACTCTTTCTGAATTATGGACAGCTCTATCAAATATTTGGCAAGCCATTCCCGTAGAATGCTTTCACAAACTTATTGAATCTCTGTTTTGTCATTAATATACTGAAGTACCCCAATAGAGTGGTACTTCAGTATATTAATATGAAGATAAGCATATTAATAAACAGCTTAGAAAGTAATGCTAAATAATTTTAATTTTTAAAGATAATGATAAGAAGGATAATTTTAGCTTAAATTTTGCCTTTATGATGATGAACCATGATGAATAATGTATACATACAGTTTTTTTTTAAATTTTATTTATGTTTGCTCTTGTTTTGTATGTATTGAAGTCAAATAACTGAGAAATATTCATATATTGTTGATATATGTCAAAATATATTGTATTTATTGGATATTTCTTGTCATGTTCAAAATCTAAAAATTAAAAAAAAGTGATTCTTCAACTTAATAATTAATATGGTACAACTCTGATATACGCCCTAATTTCACGAAATGTGATGATATGTGTTCTGCGCTGGTTTTTGGCGCGATTGGGGGTTGTATGGCAACCCTGTTGAAGTTAAAAAATCTTTCGCTGGAGCTCGTTGGTTCGCGTCATGCTCTGTGTCTCAGAAGATCGGGGGAAAGCTAAAATGGTGGAAGTTGTTGAATTGAAGTTCGGCAAAAGGAAATAGCATTCTGGTCATCCTGTTGAGGGGCAGTGGGTATTTGGAGGTGTGGAAAGAGGGTCTGGGAGATTATTTTTAGTGGCTGTGCATGATAGAAGTAGGGATTTGTGATTTTATTTATTTGTGAGCCATAGTATGAATTTTCTGGATAGTGTGTCTGGCTGTCAAATAAATACAATAGTGATTACGTAGTGGCATGTTAAAGGCGGTATGAAATTGGTATTTCAGCTGTTTGAAAAAGCATTAATTCATGGTAAGTGCATTTTATTTTATTCTTGTTTTCTTATTTGTAGAATGTTATGTTCATTTTTTTTTTTTTTTTTTTTTAGTATGAATTTCTGTCGTTGTTGTTTTTTTGAATTGTTTGAAATTTATTTTAGTTTATTTTGTTGATTAGTGCTAGTGTCCAGATTGTGCAATTCGTAGATGTTTTTTAAAGTTGAAACAGAACGCTGTGCACATGGTATTCTTTGAAATTTATTGTTGTTATGTTAATTTATTAAAGCGAGGGGTGCATAGTTCGTAGATTCGTTCGCTGCCTAAATTGTGCAATTCGTAGATTTTTTTTAAAGTTTAAACAGGATGATGTGTACATGGTATTCTTTGAAATTTATTGTTGTTATGTTAAGTTATTAAAGGGAGGTGTGCGTAGTTCATAGATTTGTTCATTGCCTAGATTGTGCCATTCGTAGATTTTTTTAAAGTTAAAACATATTGCTGTATACATGGATTCTTGTCAAATATTTTTGGTTAGAAACTTTACGTTTTTGCTATCTAAATTTTTTGTTTTTGTTTCGGATTTTTAGCTTAAATTGTGTGTTCAAAACGTGGTTTTTGCATGTGTGAAAAACGCGTTTTTGGAGACATTTTAGACTTAAAGTATGAAATGTAGACAAAAAATTTAGATAGTAATATGGCAGCATGGAGGCGACTTGAGGGCACATATCAGAGTAGTTCCATTAATATTTCTAAAATCTTCCACTCATGAGCATGCTTAAGACTATATGAAACATATATGGAAAGTATCATTTAATTTTCCCATAAAATTTTGAGTTATTATTGTTACCGTTTGCAATGTTTACAGAAAATTGCATTTTTCAGAAAACTAGTTTAAAGTTTCTATAAAACAATTTCTTAGTGAAAGACGCATTTCTAAAAATTAAAATTCCCCATCTCTGTAAGTGATGCCTTGCTTTTTCTTTCAAATAGCATATAAATGTTTTGAGGGAGGGGGTTGCAAAAACTTGTGGAATACCATCGAGAGTCATGATTTCACACTTTATCAAATTTTCAAAACCCCTGTTCAGTGGAAAACTCAGAAAACCTATCTAACTACTTTAAGCAAATCTCTATATATTTTAAATAACACAACACTTACATTCACTCCAAATAGTAATGTTCGCAACTTTGTAAATATTTCTTTTGGAGTAACTTGCTATAAAATGCCATTGAAATATTTCTTGGCATTTTGAGTTTTGCCATGTATGAACCTTTTTTTATAATTCTTGTTTACATAACTCTAAATATATGTAGTTTTAATTCAACTTAAAATATGCGTTAGTATTCCAGTTTTATGGCTGATTCCCCCCCCCCTGCAATCACACGCTGAATCCTGCACTATCTTGTTGATCCAGAATGATACACATCACATGCACTGGCTTCGAAAAAGAAGAAGAGCTACAATGGAATAATGCAGCTATTACAGCCTGCTGAATCTCAACTAAGAACTTCCAATTCCAGTGCCATAATAATTCTGCAGTTAATCAATAAAAGAATCGGCCAGTTTACCTTTTCCTTTTAGTCTAAGAGTGGATTTTTTTATTTTCCACAGTCTGCAAACATACTTCTTCTGTACATATCAATTCATTCCATTTTCTGGGCAGAATCTTAACCATATACAGTGTCTCACAAAAGTGATGGGACACTTGTGCTTTACGAAAGGAAACTGTAGTAAAATAAATTAGAAACATGAAAACAATTTTTTGTGGCTGTGTTTCATACTTAAATTTAGTAACAATTATTACATAACATCATTTTCTCAAAATATTAAAATAGTAATGTATAAAAATACAATGTTTAGAACGGAGCAAAAATGGCTCACATAAGTGATGGGACACTTACTTTTCCATCAAATATTTATCCAAAAATTTTACTTCTTAAAATGTTTAATATTTTTTTGATTTCCTTTACTTTTAAAACGTGATTTAATCTTCTTGGGATGGATTCGACTAATTTTTTTGTGATTTCTGGAGTGATTTTACCCCATTCTTCTTGAAGCAAGATTTAATTGTTGTTTTGAAAATGGTGTTTGCGATTCTTGATTCCAATTCTTGCAAATTCTCTATAGATTTAAGTCTGGAGATTGTGGTGTTTTTATTTTTCAGGACAGTATACCAGCACCAGAGTTAAGTTCAAAGCAGTGTGTTGGGGTAATTGTCCTGGTAGAATTTAAAACGTATGAAGTTTCAATTTGCTGACGCCATTTTGATTTAAAATGCAATAGATTTGTCCTGATCCATTATATGTCAATAAAAAATTACAACTCCAGCGGACGACATAAACCCCCATACATAACTCCTCCTCCACCAGTGTTTATTGTTGGCACAAGTTCGTTTGCGAATTTTTTCCTGGGTTTTCTCTAACAAGATGCTACCGTAGAACCAATATATAATTTACTCTCATCAGCAATATAACTTCATTCCATATCAGACTTCTTATTTATTCGGATTTTGCAAAGCCATTGAAGTTTTCTATTCTTTCACTTACGACGAATTTTTCCTGCCTTCCTACCGTGATATCCAGCAGATCAATTAATCTCTAATAGTTCAAGATTAACAATTACTCCAATATGCTTGTAAATCAGCAGAACATAGGAGCACTCATTCTTGGATTTTTATATTTTGAACATACTTGCTTTTACATGATGCTTTGATGGTCTCTTTTTATCCGGATCATATATTTTTTTTATCGTTTAATGATATTGAAAATGTGAAGACTCATATTAACTGTTTCAGCGTTCTCTAATAGATTTTTCACGTTCATATGCAAATTAATAACTAATTTCGAATTTCAGACAAAGTTTCTTTTCGTTTAGCATTCATGGCTGCACAGAGCTAAAAAACACAAAATCAAAAAAACTGGAAAAAGACTGCAGACGATTTATAATTATTTTAATTGCTTTGAGTAAAAAAAAACCCAAAAAAATATTTTATGTAGTACGTAGTAGTATCTAATGGTGTCCCTTACTTATTGAGCCATTTTTTGCTCAGTTCTAAACAATTGTATTTTATAAATTATATACCCACAAAACTTTTACATGTTTTTTAATTTATTTTAATACAGTTTCCTTTTGTAAAGCACAAGTGTCCCATCACTTTTGTGAGACACTGTAGATCTCGTACAGTTAAAAATCACTTAGAATCCCCATAATACATCGTGTGCTTCAGCTTCGATAATTTAATAGATCACTGAAAAATGTGAAAAGCTCCAACTGCTTCCATACCTGAAGCTGCTGCTTTATGTATATCATGCCAAAGTTTACATTTCATTTTGTTTGTTTTGTTGCAAATGGTACAGAATTGCGACATGATTTCTAAGTTGAGCACTTTGCCAGTGTTAATCAACAGAGCAGCAATGCATCCATTTAACAATGAATAACCTCTTCATTGCAATGTTCCATCTACAGGAACGCCACACTCTTTCATGTTCTTAGTAGCATCACAAATCTTCTTTCATCTTTATCATTAACAGCTTTTAGCATAGAGTTATTTGACAAGAAGCAACTAGGTAAACTTACTAAAAAGCATTTCTTGAAGTCATTTATATGATGTGTTTTGTTTAGGCATTGGTAAATTTAATGCTATACAAAATATTTTCGCTGCAGATATACTTTTTCTAATTATACTCATACCAAACACTAATCTGGTGTTAACATTCAGCTCTCTTCTCTCTCTCTCTCTTTTTTTATGATAAAAATGAAATGATATTTTATGAAAAAAATGCTTTCTTAAATACATACAGTTTCTTAAATGTGTACATTCCTTACAAGTCAATGAAAAGTATGGAAACAAACAAAATCAAAAATTGTCTGACAAACTCAAACCTGATGACTAGCAGTTAGAATACCAAACTAATGAAAATATATTAATTAAAATTAAACAATAAAACAATTCCCTGTGATTTCATTACTTGTGTTTACATCAAAGAACTTTACCATCAGACAATGTGTTTGCTTCACATCTGTCAACGGTAACATTTATTGTGTATTTGTTACTTCAAATCTTCCTCTTTTTAGAATGTTTAGACCTCCTATTGGCCATTATGAACCTTTAACAGATAAAATTGCCCTTGATTTTACACAGATTGTTAAGAAATAAGTTAAAAATTCACAAAACCCTGTAGTAAGAATGAGATTAACTTAATAGTTGATGTTTAGTAAATATAAGAATGTAAACATTAGCTTGTTGCCAAACTAAATATGAATATAAGGTAAGGAATGATGCCAGATTCTTAAAATATATTACAAGATATCTAAAACTAGATAGAAGGTTTATAATTTAAAAAATCCTGATGGAAAATTAAATTTTTAAATAGATACACATTTTTAATTCCCCATTTCCAGTCCAGAACATTTGAAACTTTTCGTTTTATGCCATTACACAAAAATGCTTATGACTTCAGTTCTAATTAACTTAGCAACAAGTAAAAAGTTGTATTTGGTAGCTAAAGATGTATTTTTTAAGATGATGTAATAAAACAATTTCTGAATTTTGACTGAAACATGTCTTTTGTATGAGGCTGAGTATGTGGAGAAAAAGATCTATTTCTAATACAGTCTTTTCCATTTATTTGTAAATTAATTGATCCATTCTACTATAATAGTTAATGTTTATAAATTTATTCAAACTCCAGTACTTCTTCCCCTATAAGTGTCACTGGTTTGTTAATTTTTTAATGTGAGGGAAACATTATATACGAGAAAAGGATATAAAATCAGCTGAAGAAAACAACATATAACAAAAGTAACCAATTTTTGTGTTTAAAGTTCTCTTTAACTAATGTTTATAACTATGTGAAACATCATAATATGTCAGTGGATTATTCAAGCATGAAAGTAAAATCAGTTATCTTGTAGAAATTATTCTGCAGTTGCCTGTCTGCTTTGTGAATCAGTGACATCAACAGAAGAATACCTTGCCTCTAACTATAGATCTGCAATAACACCATCTGTCTGGAGTTTTATAAAGAAGGGCTGAAAAAATGTAAACTAAGTTAATACATCAGGATTATGTAGCATTCCCACTGAATAAAATGTACGGTAATCTGTAAAATCAGACTGGATTGTGTAAATGACAGGAGAGAAATTATTTTTATGCAAAATTTATTAATGAACACTAAAAGCAAAGTAATCATCTAGAAATAGAACACAATGTCACAGCTTAAGTTTATACATAAACATTACTACCATATAGTGGCAAGCTTAGAGTACAGAAACATACCTGCACACTTTCATCCACTTGACATGAGACTAAAGAAAACCAGACATGTAATCAACAACCCAGAGATTAATAATCTGAATAACATGTCATTAATAATGATACAGCACATCTGTAATTAAATATCTGAAGGATCATTTGCACATAAAAATAATTGCAATGGAAAACTTCAAATCATTCTGTCATATATTTTGATAACATTTCTAAAAAAATAAATTTATAAATATTGCATATAGTTGCATACAAAATGCATGAATGTGAGGTGTGAGGTACATGATGAAATAAGACTGTTAAATCCCAGCTGAGTCAATGAAATGTACAGATTGCTTGTAAAAATTCTGTCAGAACTAAGGATTTTAATGTTGTTTTGAGTATATAAGTTTAATTTTTAGCTCTTAACAGGCCTTGATGGCCTTAATTAATGCTTTTAACAGACCTTGGTGGCAATATTTATTACCCAGCTGGCGACTGACTTTTCTTGACAGTTTAGTGACATTTTGAAAGTTTTCAGAAAACTCATTTTTTAAAAAAAAAAGTATTTTTCCAAAAGCCCTTGCAATCCCATATCAATACAACTTTGAGAGCCAGGAAAAGTGAGTTGTTAATCAGCTTTGACAGTTTGCTATTCAAAAAAAACCTAGCTAAATTGCATTTTATATTCTAATCTGAGTGATTTGGGGAAGTTATTATATTTCTTGTGCTATAACAAAGAACTGCTTATTATCTGTCTTTTTCTTAAGCAGTTTACAATCAATTTGACTGTATGTCACTATTATTTACAATAAATTTTTAATTTCTTTGTGCTCATTGGGTGAGGTTATTTAAAGAAACATCCGCAAACAGGTAGTTCACATCATTATTTAATAATATTTTCAGATTTAGTTTTCCTATCATATTAATACAATCTCAAATATTACTTATCACATATTTTTGTTCATTGATCTTGTTTTTGTGTATTAAATTATATACCAATATTAGGGGAATTTTTAAGCTTAATAGTTGATGTTTAGTATTATCTATAACTATGGTTATTGATTAAAAGACTTGCTATTATTTTTTGCTTGGCTATTATTTTTTTTAATTATAGACATGTTTTTATTTTTAATTAACTTTCAAATGTTTTGTCAGGCTTTGATGCTATATTTTTTCAATATTTATAATTATATTACTTTTACATTAACTTGTAAACATAAATTTCAGATGACTTCAGGATTTTCTGTGGAGATTTGGGAAATGATGTCACTGATGAAGTTTTAATTAGAGCATTCAGCAAATATCAGTCTTTTGTGAAAGCTAAAGTAATACGTGATAAGAGAACAAATAAAACTAAAGGTTATGGTTTTGTTAGTTTCAAAGATCCACAGGATTTTATCAAAGCAATGCGTGAAATGAATGGTAAGTTATTTTTTAGTACATTCTGAATCTCTATTTGTGTATGTGACTTACTTACTTGCATATGAGTAGCTGTAAATATCAGGATTAAATCTAAAAAAATTCAGCCTCTAAATATAGTTTTACCCTATTCACATTAATATTTGATTTCCAGCATTATAATTTTCCATCCTTTCTCATTTTCTTACATTAACCCAGTGCTATATTCACCCAAATTTTGCACAGCTTTGTTAGTTTTAGAAACTTTTTGTTTCTATGCTATGCCGTCAGAATAATCATGGATATTAACAAATAGAAAACTAACTTTAATTGAAAGATAAATCCAATTTTCATTGCTATTGAAATGGTACAATGTTAGCAGTGGTATATCATGAGAGCTGATTAAAAGGTAATGATACAAGACACTATGGATATATTAGATTTAAATGACGTTCTTAACATGAAGTGTATAATAACAAGACACACATTGTTTTACAACTTTTCGACAATTTACGATCTATTCTAGGTTATTCTTTGAACATTTCTTCAGAATTACTTTTATAACTTTAATGTATATCCTTATCTTGCCATTATATTATTCTTTGGTCTTTTTGGACACTTACTATAATTATGTTAATTATTCTTCAAACTTATAGATTTTGGAGGCAACCGTTTTCTAAAATAATCTCAATCTAATCATAAGAAATTTTTGGAAGGCATAATTTTGCAAATGCCATATAGTTTCGAAAAAATATCTGAGCCTTTATACTACCACATAAATTCATCAGGATAAGACTCTAAAGGACATATTTCACAAAAGCATTTTGACATCACTGTTGGAAATTTCAACAAGAAGACATGGGGCTGTTTTACAATGCATGTATCTCAGTATCTCTTTTTGAGCTAAAATCCTCTGGCATTGTTTTTCCTATGCATATAGAGACTGTTTTCAGTTTCAGCAATTTTGATGAGTCCTGCAATATTTTGCTTTTAGGAAATTCAAGTGGATGTTTTGAGCTTTTAATTGTACAGCATTATGTAAGCTCACTGTAAAGTCATTTCATCATTGTTTTTCACAAAGCCTAGTACATAACACAATCTCCTTTTCTTAGAAAAACGGAACGAAGTTTTGTTGAATCAATGGAAGATTGAAAATATTTAACATATTAATAAACAAAGTATAAATTAAAAAAAAGCAGATGGAAAATCACTGTAATGAGAAACTGAACACGAAAAGCTAACACGTAAAAAGAAGCACATGGAAAAAAATTAGGTTTACCTTATTAGAGGGTCTTATGTAATACTAGCTGTTATTCCCATATTAGAGATCCTTAAGTTACCACTTAAAGTGATGATCCAAAAAATATCTTATTCTGTTATAGTTGTTAAATTCTATCTTTATGAGAACTGTCATTATTTTTATATTTCTTCTTTGTGTAGTTTAAGTCATTTTTTTATTTTGTTACATTTAAATTTGTCTATTACAGAAAAACATCACAGTCATTGGCATAATGATAAACAAAGTAATTTATCCAATGCCCAAAAGGGCATGATCATTGGCTTTCATGCCAAGGGTGGAAATGTTTAAAAAACAGCTAATTCTGTAAACTATTCACATGCCACTGTAGTAAAAGTATATCTTGCGTGGCAAAGAGGTACTGTCCAAAATCAGTGATGTGACAAATGGGGTGCACCACAAACCATAGATAGCAGAGGTGAATGGCGGCTGCGGAGGTGTATTTGAGTGAATAGACATGCAATTATTGAGTAACTGACCATCCAGATGAACCAAGGGGCTACTAACAGTGTGTCCTCAACAATAGTTGAGTGATTATTGCTGCATATGGACCTTTGCAGCAGACACCTGGTTAATGCACCTAGACTGCTGTTCATTGGCAATGAAGGCTGAAATTTGTATGCCAGTGCCCTAACTGGTCATCCACTGAGTGGTGACAGATGGCTTTTTCTGATGAACCACATTTTCCAGTATAAACCATCAAGAGAATAATTTTTTTTTCCCTTCTTAGATTAATAACATACTTCTGGTAATTTATCAATTTGTTGTCCTAATTTTCCAGAAGCCTTTGTGAAACTTTTGTTTTTTTCTCCTAGAACTAAATTATTGTATGCCATAAACATGCTACACCAACTCAAAGTTTTCACTGGCATTTGCATTCTTTTTGGCCCACTTTAAGGCAAATAAGCATTTGCGGTTTTATTATAAGACTTGTCCATTCTGGTATTTTTCTAGGACCCATTTTGTAGCACTTTTTTTTAAGGTAGGCCATTTTGTTACTCCTTTATGCAAAGCACATTTATTCTTTGGCATATTAATTATTGTAATTTCTTTTTTCTTATTCTCACATATGGAGCTTTCACCAACACTAAACATCCTTACTGCAACACGATTTCCATTTTCTTTCACAAATTGAATGATTTTGCATTTGAAACTAGTACTGTGTTTGTTTCATTGGTAGGAGCCATACTTGTGATTAAAAGGTACGCTAAATCAAATGTATTTCAACTAAAGCAAACGTAGTTCCTTCAGTGTTCTCTTCAAAATCAGAGCTTCAAATAACTACAGAAAGAGAAAACATCTGACTCCTAATTCTGTGAATTCATTTGGGTCGGAAGTGTATTCTTACCCCAAATTAAGCCCCTCTTTTCTCAAAATGTTAAAATAACATTCTTGTTCACACCTGCATTAAATACAACCCACTGTCTGTGCAGAATTATTTACTTCCCCAAGCATTTTCCTCCACTCACGTACTGTGTCCCTTATTGCTTGTCAGTTCAATATACCATTGTTTGAAAGCCTGGAAAAAATTTTAAAATGCATGACTTCAAAAGATAAAAGCATCACACATGTATCTTTCAGTTTCTTCAGAAAGAAAAGGGTATGTGTTATATGGAAAATATACCTAAAAATTAAAACGTAGCTTAAAATTATAGGTGCATGTTATATGCCGTAATGTATCTTATTTAATTTCTGGCTATTATTAATTTAAATTCTGGGAAATCAAATGAGTGTAAAACTATGCAGATAAATATTCATAAATTCTGCTGAATGTTTGAACAAATAAATTTTCAATCTTAAAAAAAAGAAGCAGCACTGCAGTGAGCTCATGTGATGCAGTATTCTTATAGCACATGTGTTGTTTGGTTTTTGGTAATGTTAAGAGTATTGCATAGTGTGAAACATGGTTGCTTACCAAAGGAGCATACTTGATGTAAGTGAAACGTAAATTTTAATCAGTGCTTTCTTGAGCAGATGAGCAAGATATATCATTCTATGACATGTGAGGAAAAACATATGATGAATAATAGATGATTAACTTGACTAGAGTAAACTACTACGCTATGTCAGTAGAGTATACTTTGTTTAGGTTGTCAGGTACTTGACCACAACAGATACTTCATATAAATGCTGACCAGGACACTCTGCTAGATTGCTACTCCCATTCCAGTTTTCAACAGCTATATTACATATTAGGATTATGTGCGTTACCTCTCTGCACCACATGGAAAAGAATCACAGCTATTGGCTATGTCGATAACCCGGATGATACACACCCTGAATAGGCACATCAGGAGGACACACAATCTTCGCACATTTCTTGGTGTCTACCACAGGATTATATACTTATGCTCTTCAGGACTGCACAAATGCAAGGAGGAATAGAAATTTGCCAACACATCCCTCACAGAGCTGAAAAGTGAATTGTAAAAAAAAAATTCATTGGACTTAATGGATTCATACATTTTTTATGTTTGGTTCTGCAAAGATTCCTCATTAAAATATTGGTGGGCATTTTAGCTGTAGACATATTTTTAATGTCAGTTTCCTTTATGCCATATATCTCTCTTATGTAATGAAAACAAATATCAGTGTGTTTTGTTCTACAGTGATGAACTGGCAAATGCAGTTATGATTACAAATAAAATCCATCGGACAATTTTTGACCAGCCATTTTCAGCCATTTAGCCCTATGAGGCTAAACTGGAAAATTGAAGATGCTTGAAATTACTTCAAAAACCAATCATTTCAAGAATGCCACAATAAAATTACATCTAGATTAGGGTAAATTCATATTTTATGGAATCATAATTTGACTATGCTTTAATTAATTAATTAGTTTTTGCTATAATGTAGTAAGAATCTGCTGATTTGGAGAAATTTATTTTATAATTTATAGCTTATTATTCATGTTTCACATTTATTCAAATATTTTTTTAATTTTTAACTTTACATTTGTGAAGTTAATTATCCAGGCAGAAATAATTCTGTGGGAACATCTTGTGTTATAAAATCGTGTGTGTTAAAAACCCACTACAAAATTACTGAATATTAATTTAATATAGTACTCATGAAAATTTTATTTCTAACATAATCACATGATTGGAAGTTGCATGAGTACACTTCATTAGCTTATATAACTGAGATCAATATCTACTCATATACAAATAATAATAATAATAATAATAATAAGCTTCCTTGTATCAAAACACACAACTGCATTTTGATAGAATAACGAAATCTGCTTTTAACAGAACAGCTCAGTCTTTTATTTAAATAATTTGATCATGATTATGTAAATGCTTTCTGATGCATAACATAAGCAACTATATTGAAAATTAAGGCTCGTTAGTAAAGTTTAACACTAGCAATGCATTGAACAAAATCTATCAATAAAATAAGACATGAAGATAAAACATCTAAAGATAACAAATAAAAATATATAAAATGAAACACATTAAAGGCTACAAAGATTGATAACAAATAAAAGGTTTTTGCACAATAATTAAGAAATTCACAAACTTTTTACTAAGAAAAGCTGTTAATGCATCTACTTTTAAATCTCCTCCATCTCATTTGATTGGTTGTTGAGGAGCATATACATTGCACTCGGCCCATGCAAACTGCTGGCTGCTTCAAAATTTCACCCTCTAATGTATGTATCATAAATTAAAGCATTTAATGATTAATGTTACTTTCACCAGATACATCTATTTCAGTATTTTTT